CTTGTTGCATGAATATACTATCTCCTTTTATCTCTCTGGGGAAATTAATATTAACTTAAAACATTTCTTATTTTACCCCTTAATTTTTAATTTCCCCTGAATTTCTGTTTTGGTCTATTCTTTCAAGAATGTGACTTTTCTTAAATGTCTTGGTCACTTATTTTTAGGTGCACTGCAATGCTGATTGGAAGGTTTATGTAGGTGGGTGGGGGCTTATTAGCTGGTGGGCTTTTCTGAAGAGACCTGGCAGGGTCATATGCAGGGGGGGGGAGAGTAGGAATGGAGGGGGCAGGCTTCTCTTGGGATATTCAGTTTCCCCAGAGAGGACTTTTCCAAAGTTTTGCCTGGAGGACATAAACCTGCCTTGCAAGTATTCTGATAGCTGAGCCTCGAAAGGGTTGGCAAAAGGGGCATTGTTGATCTGTGTGCCTGTACCTGCAAGTGTCTTATCCAGTGTAGCTTTCACTTAATCTCTTTGTTTTCTGTTGGTATTTCACTCTGCTCACATCTGTGGCTGAAGTCTCATATGCAAACTTCCTTATCTTTCCTTAACTTTTTTTTTTGTTTTTTTTTTTGTAATGCCATTTTAATGGGCTTGGGGTGGGGGCAATAAACAGAAATCTTTAATTCTTTAAGTGAAACTGGAAGTTCCACCTTTGTATTTATTCTTACCTCCTCTGGCCAAGTCAGGCCTTCTCCCTGAACTCTGTAATTGTTTACATGGACCTTGACTCCTGAACCTTGTTTAATCTGAAAGAGCTTCTGGGGATTTTGATTCAGCCATTTACTATTATGTAAGAGTGAGAGTACTTAGATGTTGGGCTAGGCTCCCTTAGGATCCTTAGGATTCTGGAATATGGTCAATATGCCAGCTTCTCTGCAGGGTAGCTAGGGGGGAGAGACGGAGCTTGATGTAATGAACAAGCTCATGTGCACAACCATGAACCAATGTGTATGCTGAGCTCACACAGCTTACACTCATCTTCAGGGGCCCCTGGAATTGCTCGTGCTGCCCTGGGAAGCTGTGTCGACGCCCTGGTTTTATGCTTCATTCTGTATTTGCTCCTGCAGATTGCCAGTTGCCCCTTCATTCTGGAGCATGGTTTCTTTTTTTTTTTTTTAATCTTTTAATTATTTTTTATTATGAAATACACATTTTTAGAATTAGTTTCACCTGTTCAACACAGTGCAGTAGTTATACTTTTATCCCTCGAAGTGACAACCCCCCTCCCCCAATCCACCACCCCACTTCCCCCCAATATCATACATATCTATTACAATTCCCTTGACTCCACTCCCACACTATACTCCAC